CTTGTTGAATCTCATACAGTTGGCCTCGGCCCATCGATCCAGCCTGTCCAGGTCCCTCTGCAGAGCCTTCCTACCCTCAAGCAGATCAACGCTCCCACCCAACTTGGTGTCGTCTGCAAACTTACTGAGGGTGCACTCGATCCCCTCATCCAGATCATTGATAAAGATATTAAACAGAACTGGCCCCAAAATTGAGCCCTGGGGAACACCGCTCATGACAGCTGCCAACTGGGTTTAAGTCCATTCACCACCACTCTTTGGGCCCGGCCACTCAGCCAGTTTTTTACCCAGCAAAGCGTATGCCTGTCCAAGCCATGAGCAGCCAGTTTCTCCAGGATAATGCTGACATAGGTTTGGGAAGAGGTGTTCATTGTGATTTTTCAGGTTTTCTAGTGTTTTCAATTAACTGGCCTGCCCAGATTAGTTTCCAGCTCAGATGCTGATTTCTATTTCTGGGTAGGCGTGAGACATTAATAAAGAATCATAGCTACCTATTTTTTTTCTTCACAGTGGTTACAGTTTTAAAGAAAGATTAGAAAGAAAAAGAAGATAAAACACAGATACGCATAATAGGTATAGGTATAATAGGGAGAAAATACTAGATAACAACTAGCCCATAGGAAACAAGAAACTACCTGGAGGGAAACACTTAAAAAAATTCATTGTCCTTTGATATGTGGTATATATTAACTTTCTGTTTACTTGTCTTGCTGATTTATACTCCTGCCTATCATTATACTGGAGTGTTATTCTTGTTATATCTCCAAGTCTGTAGACCACAAGAGAACCAAATAAAGCTAAAGGAATAACTGAAAGGAAAATCCCATGTTAACAAGAGGTCACTATTAAAACGATCAAAAAATTAATTCAGTATCATTTTGCCTAGATACTTGCAATGACACACTTAAGAACATTTCAGGAAATGCAACTTTGACTTTTAAATCAGTATCACAGAAATTTTATACCCTTATCTAGCCACTTACCTACTCTATAGACCCATCTGAACTAAATTAGTGATACTATTTTCTGCAAACACTTTAAAATTGATTTTAAAGTGCTTTGAATTAGTTATCTTAATTAAACATGGACCTTGAATACCTTGATTTAAAACTCAGTACAGGTTTATGCATGGACTAAGTAACTAACTCCTTTGTAAGCACTTTCATGCAAACACTTTGTCCTTTCCTGAGGCTCCTCTAGCATATTACTGTGCTTTGTACTGACTGTAACTTATTTAGAAAAGGCATTTTGCCTTCGGAGAAGTCTTTCAATTTAATTCCCAAGGACATTATGGAAGAACAATTTCAGTAAATTTTGATTTGTTAGTGGAGTAGTTTTAGTTATAAGAAAAGTTGCTATACTTACATTTCAAGAGACTGAAATACAACGCAGGCACATTGTCAAATGAGAAAATTATTTTTTTTTCCTAAAGCAGTTGTAGTAAAAATGAAACAGGAACCCATGAGAAAAAAATGAAAACTTCAAATATTAGAAAGTCCCAGTTCTCAAGTGCACCTGATTTTCAAAACCCTTCACTGTTAGCGTCTTCACGTTCAGAGATCATGGGACAGTAACTTTCATCACTGTTACCATAGCTTTAGCTAAGTTTCAAGCATTGAACTCAAGACTGCCATAAAAGCAAGTTTACTCTTATTTTATCTGTAGGCAAACTTGACTGATTTATGCACAAAGGAGCCTAGAATGCTGAAATTCTAGTTCAGTGTCGTTAGCAAGTTCATGAAACCTGTGAGGTTCCCATTTCCAAACCTGCAGGATGCAGCACCCCCACTTAGTCTGCATGACTGCCTAAGAAAAATGTTTTACAGAAGGACAGACCTGCAGGCCCATCCATTCTGGAATAAATAATACTCAAGTGCAATGATTTTGGTCACACATCAGAGCAGTTAGAATAGAATCCCTTTCCTGCTGGGACAGCTGTTCACACGAGAGAATTAACCCACGAGTTAATTATTTCTGGTGTAATCCATTAGAAGAACCCTTATATCTTTTACAGGCACCAAAAAGATTCCAGGAACAGGCTCCAACCCTTTGCGGGCCTCACATACAAATACAACATTGAGCAGCCTACATTGTACAGCCAAATGCCTGTGTAGCCACGTACCCTACTCCCACTCTAGGACATTATGGGGACTAGGAGTGACACTCCAGCACCACCTCAGCTTGAGCTGGTGTTTAGTACCAGATTTTCCACACACACCATGTATTCTTCCAGCCCAGTCGCTGAACCCAGGTTAAGTTTTAATAGCTCCATAACCAGGCAAGAACCGGCCCATCACTCCTTAAGGGGAAATACAAGCCCACACATGAAAGCTCACCCTGAACACCACCCTCGAAGAGCACAGCAAAAAATAAATCACACGTTGATCCTTCCTAGCACCTTTCACAGCACCTCAGCCTTTTGGGAAATGCTCCC